CGTTTACTGAATTTAAGCAAAACCAGCGAAAAAAGAAGCAAGTCCAGTTCAGATCCTCTCATGACGTCACGGTGATAGAGGACGCTGGGGAATCGAAGGGCCGCAAGGTGTCCTCTGTCCGGAGTCCAAAGAAAGACAGAGGGAAGGCAAAGGAGAGACAAAAGAACACTTACAACTTACTTGCAGATTTACAGGACGTTTATTCTAGAACTAATAACCCGGTAATTTATAGAACTCATTCAAAGAACGAATTTAGTGATATAAGATTGAAAGATATTCCAGTGGCAAATGGTGAATGTGGCAGTGAGTACAGAACTCCTGACTCATTCGGTGAAGTTCTTCCATCTCGGGAGGAACTCCTGCAAGACTCCAGCCAGGAACAGCGGCGGGGCGACAGCAACAGCGCCGTCGCCAGGGAAGCAGAAGAAAGGGATGTTGAGCAAGAATTCCGTGAGCAAAAAGGTGAGGCAATTTCCTTAGCATTTACTGCTGGTCCTCCTCCTTTCAGAATATTTTATATTTTTCTTCACAGAAAGGCTGACATTTAATTACCACTTATTTCCTAAAACCGTAATGATACTCATTTGGATTTCTTTCACACCATTGGTCCCTAATTGGTGGGTCGCGACTGCCTTCCGCGGATTAGCAGGGGGAAAAGTAAAATTATGTCAGTTTGCTAGCCGTTTCCCAGACATGATTAAAGTTATGACTTTAAGGAATATTGCATCATGTCAAATAAATGACGCGTGTACAGATCGCTGGCCGGTTCGCGATTTCAAAATGGTTGGGAACTGCCATGTTATATCCCTTCCTAATTCTTTCTTTGTTTTGTTTGGGATGATGCATGCTATGTGTTTTATCTGCTATTGTTTTGCTGGACTGGACACTAAAAGGCCTCGATTTAACTTTAAAAACGAAATATCATTTACTTGGCACAGGTATTGTGCAGAATTAATCTTTATTTTTTGCTGTTATTTTTTCCACATTATATTGAAGCAGTGTGTCATAGACTGATAAATACTAATTCAGAATACTTTTCGTATCTTAACTTAAGGAACATTTGAATTTAGCATTAAATTGCATCTATTCAGTATCATGATCACCATTATCTTTTTCATCTTAATATTCTTGTTATTATATATATTTTCAAGTAGCAGTGCGTTTATACAGACCAGCCACACAAAAAACATATACATAAACCACCTGCACACGTATATGGAAATATGCACGCACCCTTACTAACCCGTACACAGAGAACACACACACAGACATACACACTCACTCACTCATACACACTCGGACTAAACGTGTATTCAAATAGCAATAACCAGAGCGTAAATATTTTTACACAGTACCACCTATAGTGAACGGTGACGTGATCATTTATAAAGAGAAGCTAGGTTGGTGCAGTTCGGAACGCACTAATAACCCGAGCCTTCATTCCCGCAGTGGATGCCCAGGACTGGGCTGGTCTCCCTCGTAGTCTGAGAGACAGTCAGACCTCGGGCGTGAGCACTGCCGAAAGCACTCCGCGCCTCCGTCTGTCGTCTTACACAAAGCCACCCACTCAAGTCATCACTGGCTCTACATCAGCGGCTCCCACACCCACACGACAGGCTCCCCCTCCTCCTAGAAATCGCACGCTCAGTCCCCCACGCCCCAGCGTCCCCCCACCTCCTCCCCCCACTTCTCTCTCTCCTCCAGTGTCTCTGTTGCCACAGAATGTCATTGCGTCCCAAAGGCCCTTACCTTCGCCCCCTGTTTTAACACCTCCATCTTGTCCACCTCCCCCTCCACCTCTTGTCCACCTCCCCCAGTCGCCACCACCGTCTCCTCCCCCGCCTCCTCTCCCCACGTCCCCCCCACCAGCATTAGACGACACCAACCAGACGTCCAGTTTGTCCAGGAGCTCTGAGGATCCTTCCAAAAACCCGACCTTTACCAGCTTCCGAACTGATTCAGACCAGCAGAGTCCTTTTAAATCTGTTAATTCTTATAACTCTCCTTCTTCATCTCTCCCTATATCTCCTTCAGAAATCTCACGGGGCAGTGAGGGTCTTCGGGAAGTGCTCTCACCTATGGGATATGTCCCAGTGTTTGGGGGCACTGAAGAAGCTCGCACAGCCACCATTCGTGGACGTGGAGCTGCCCACGTCCGACCCACTATTCTAGAAGCCTTTGTTCCAACTCCACCCAGTAGTGCTCTCCCTCCTTCCTCGAGTCCTCCTGTTGCCCCGCGAAGACGCAACCGAAACCGTTCGCTTAGTCCCGACGTGCCGGGAGACTCGACCAGGAGCGGACAGAGCATTCTTGGTGGCCGAGGACGAAGGTCTTCCTTCCTCAATAATCTCCTCGGAGACGAGAATCCCTATGAACAGATAACTGATCACATCTATGAGGAGCTGTTATTACGCAACCAATCCCCAAACCATTCCTCTCTCGCGTGTCACAGCAGCTCCAGTAACAGTAGCTCACCCCATAAATCCCCCTCTCCTGGAAA